TTGTCTTGTTTGTGGCCTGTTCAGTGGTTCATTTTGTGTATTTGTGGAGACACATTATCTGTTTTAAGCTTCATAAATAAAGCTGGATTGACTTTCATAATGGCTGCAATTTAATAAAGGCATTATTTACTTATTTATGTATATTTTATTTATGTATCTCACATTTATTGTTTTTCATTTAGCTACTTATCTGTAGGACATGTTTATGGCTTATTTAAAAAAAGAAAGAAAGAAAGAAAGAAAGAAAAAGAAAAGAAAAAATAAAGAAAAAGAAAGCATTGTATAGACCAAAGATGGATTTACTTATGTTATTCTGTCTTGTCTACAATAAGAATATTTAGGGGAAAAAAAGGCAAAAAAAGAACTTTTTAGAACTTTTTAAGAACTTTCTTAAAAAAAGAAAGAAAGATAGAAAAAGAAAATAAAAAATAAAGAAAAATAAAGCATTGTATAGACCAAAGATGGATCTACTTATGATATTCTGTCTTGTCTACAATAAGAATATTTAGGGAAAAAAGGCACGAAAAAAAAACAGGGCTTCAAATATTGAGTCGTAGAACGTGGTGAATACAACTTTTGATCCACAGCATGGAACATTTTTAAGTATAACCTTTAATTTAAAGCACCATCTGTGAGATTTTCAGACATTTTTATGGAGTTAAACCAGAGTTTGGACCCATTAGAAACAGTTCAAACTGAGCCAAAGACAACAGGAGGGATAAGAGAAGGTAAACAGGAAGTTCTGGCTCTGAATCACAGCCGTGGGGTCATGTGACTGCACCACGCCGTCTGATTGGAGCATTTTCTGGTCTGTCGTTGCACATTTCAACATTTCAATTGTTCATTTGTACATTCACACCTGTATGCATACTTTCGATATTTGTAATTTGATATTCAATATTTTATCTTTGAGTCTTATATCCATATTTCTATTCTCAGATCTATATTTTTAAAGATTGTACTTTTTAGTTTAACATTTTCTGTTCTATATTTCATAAACACCAAGGCAAATTCCTTGTAAGTCAAAAACCTACTTGGCAATAAACTTTATTCTGATTCTGATTCTGAACTCAGTCATGTGACTGAGGCTTTCCTGGACAAACCAAATCGAACCATGTTTTTTCACGATTTCAGATAAAGTCAAATAAAAAAGAGGAACATTTGTGTTTAATATTCATAAATTAAAATAAATTGAAATAATCTGAATTTCTTATAAAAAATAATCATAAGCAAATGTTAAATAATCATAAGCAAATGTTAAATAATCATAAGCAAATGTTAAATAATCATAAGCAAATGTTAAATAATCATAAGCAAATATGAAATAATCATAAGCAAATGTATAAAATACTCTGATAGGTGCAGAGTAATCTCTCTATTGCTTCCTTGTATATTTGTTTGTTTTTGTTGTTTGTACTTTATGCACCTTTTCCTCCTTTTGAACCCTCTTTAGTCACTAAACCGATGTGTGACCAGTGAATTTCTCCACTGTGAGATCAATAAAGCTCTTATCTTATTCTCTAAACCAGCAGCCCCCAGTGGGCGCCATTCCCCTTTCTGCCCCTGTTATGGGGATTTGGGCTAAATATGATCCGGTTTCCAGTGTTGGGTAAGTTACTTTAAAAATGTAATCCGTTACAGTTACAAGTTACCTTGTTTAAAATGTAATTGTAGTGTAACTTTTTCGATTACTTTTAAAAAGTAATGTAACTAATTACTTTTGATTACTTTTTGATTACTTTAAGGTTTTAATGAGTATTAACCCATGATTAATTTTAGCATGTTATTATTAGCTATTGGCCGCAGCTAGCAGTTCAAGGCTAACGTCTTGTTAATGATCATAAACAACGTAAATAAATACATAAATAAATCTGAGACGAGTCAGTCGTATCCGGATACAACATTTTAGTATCTATACTTTTTTAAGTATCGATACTTTTGACAACCTTAGTCTGAAATGTAGGACATGTCCGGGAAAAAGAGGACATCTGGTAAACCTACAGTTGGCTAGGCTAGGCTAGGCTAGGTTAGGCTAGGTCATAGACATCGATAAACGTTTGTCATGCATCAACGCCAAACAGTCAAGGGTTTTTCTTTATATTTTTAAAAAAATGTAACTAAATTTGTAATTCTTAATATTTTCGGAAGTAACTGTAACAGAATTACATATTTTCTCATTGTAACTGTAACGAATTACAGTTACTCTTTTTTTGTAATTAAATTACGTAACGTCGTTACATGTAATCCGTTACTCCCCAACACTGCCGGTTTCACAGACATGTCGAAAAGAAGAGTAAAACTAACTCAAAAGTGTGTGGTGGATGCTCTTACTACCTCCATTAAGGGCCCCAACTATAATCCATCTGGAGGCGGAAGCCTTGGAAGAAACCATTGTTCCAAAGAATGTTATTTTTAAAGCTAAGCTATAAGTTTTTTCTTTTTGCAATCAACTCAGTGCAATATTCATTGATGTTTCTTTTGTAATAACTCTGTGCAATGATATGTATATATATGCTCTTACCCTGTATATATCTAGCTCTTAGTTATAGAAAACATATTTATTAAGTAGGAATAAGGTCTCTAAGGCTCTGTCACACTGGTAGCCAAGTAATCGACATTTCGTTGTCAAGATTCACCTTGTGTTTTTTGTACGATGACAATAAAGGAAGTCTAAGTCTAAGTCTAAGTTATTTTGTCAGTTAAATATATTATTTGAATTAAGTTAAATATGATTTTTGCATCTATTTTGTTAGGTTTTGCGTTTATTTTACTTTTATTATGTTTCTCCATGTGGGAAGTTTGGGGTGGTCCACCCCTATTTAAGCCGTCTTGGTTCGGTCTGGAAGTCAGTTTTTGCTTGTGTTTGGTTGCTGTTCAGTTGACCTCAGTTGAGTTATTTAAATTAGTATTTAATATCTAGTATTTAAATTATTATTTAATATCTAGTATTCTAGTGCTTTTTAGTATTTATATTTTGTTTGTAATGTCTTAAGCTGCTGGGACCTTGAATTTCCCCTTGGGGATCAATAAAGTATCTATCTATCTATCTATCTATCTATCTATCTATCTATCTATCTAT